ATAAAGTTAGGGCAGAGGTTTTTTTTCTTTTTTATTTTTTTCCTAGTAACGACATTACATAAATACTAGGAGGACTGATAGAAGTTGTTCCTCTAGCAAGTCCGTCTAGGTCATTCTATCTTGTGGTGGGGAGACGCACCTACTGAAAACCGGGTCCAACGTCCCTTGAAACATGAAAAAAAAATGAAGATTTGAGAGTCATAAATTGTAAGTGGTATCATGCCTCTTCACCCTTAAAGGGCGCTGGATCGCCTATGATGAACTAACACAACCCCATCATAAAAAAAACATCCAAGATTAGGATGCCCCGAGCACACCTACACAACAGGTACCTTCCCCAGACCGAAAAAAAAGTGTCTCGGAATTATTAGTGGCTTAAAACATTGTCAGTTAATCCCCTGATTTGTCAACACAATCAATGCATTTTTTATTGTATTTTAGTATAAGAACATTGTGATGTGTAAGACGCTGGAGCCGTTTCCCAGCAAGTGATGCTCCCCACAAATAGATTGGAGTCATGCACCACGGGGACTTACTATTGGAGGACGCTCCTATCAGTCCCAACAATATCATGGTGGATGCAGACCTCTCGACACACAAGGGGCACTGCAGGGGTATAAAGACTAACAGGGAGACCTCAAACTGACGAAGGTATAATTTTTTAATAGCGTTTTTCCTTACCAGAATGGACACACGCAGCAAACCATATCCTCATTCCAAGGGGGTGACGCAGGGAACGAGTGGATAACCGAGCACCCCCCATAAACAGTGCACAATAGACAATGCACCCCCACTGCCCCAGAAGGAAAACCTTAGTGGATACATAAACATCGTCTCACGTGGGCTAATAAAAAAATACAATTAAATTGGGATTTTTTTTTTTTTTGTAAGACCCACTCCACATTTTATTTCAGTTTCAATTGCATTTTTTAATTATCCTGCGAAGCTTGAGAAATGCCAAGAGCGAGTGGTCGCATAAAATTTTTGTAGCGGAAAAACGAAATGGTTGTACGAGCAGGAGCGATATGTTTGTGTTATTTTAGCCCGAATACTTTTGACTTTGGTCAAAAATAGTTTCCATGTAACTCACAACTCTAAATACAACTAATAAAGGGACAGAAGGGTATCGGAACGTTTATAGTACAAACGAGCGCCGACTAGAACTAGCCACAACACCCTTCCAGCAATGGATAGAGGGGGCAAGATTGATGAATATAAATTTGCACTTCCTTAAATGTAAATGGGTTGACTTTCACCAATCCCGATAAAAAACAAGTCATTTGGGAACAATTGAGGGGGGGCGCAAACAAAACATGGCCTAATGTGATCTACATAAATGATACACGCCTAATTGTCAAATATGACCGTAACCAGGCCTACAAAATGATCTGGCTACAACAGACGTATATGCCACATGCTCCAAAATCTGCAACGTATAAACGACCATATGACTCCCGTTTGACTTCAAAGTCGTCCCATTCAATTGAGCACAAGACCAGATGGAAGGCAAATGGTTTTCTATCCTTGCTATGTTGGAGTTTGAACTGGTTTGTATTGTAAGGATATATGCTTTGAATAAGGTGGGGAATAGACATGCATTTTCTAATAACATTAAACAATATGTCCGAACTAAACGTTGGATCAGTGACGTCTCCACCAACAACTTCAATACCTAAAAGAACATGATGATCTATGCACCCTGCAGATACTGAAGGAACAACTAATGAAATGCACGATGAATGGATGCTTGATCGATGTCTAGGCAATGTGCACAATCATAAAATATATTTTTTTGTTAATTTAAAATGTTTTGCTCACGTGAGGAAATTGAAAAAGGTTTTCTTTTTGCCTCTATTTTTATGTTTTTTTCAAATTTGGTGTTAAGGACTACTACAAGATCCAACAATTGACTAGCTCCACCCCACCTTGGGTACGGATAGTCAGAGACTTCTACAATGATTTGTTCGTCGTGGGGATAACTTTTTGCCCAGCGGTATCAATAGCTCTTCAAATTTGTGATCTCTGGTGTTTATGGGGTATCCTCACATATTGAATGCGAATAGATCATCGTAGAAGTCCATAGTCAGATACTTATACAATGATTTGTTCGCCTTCAGTATGTGAGGATACCCCATAAACACCGAAGATTACAAAATTGAATAACTTTTGATACCGCTAGATAAGAAGTTATCCCCGCGGTAGCGAGACAAGATAGATATGTCCTTTAAAAATTATAAAATATAGACTACTGTACTATTAATATAAGAGGAAAAAACCTAGATAATAGATGGGTTCCCCAATGAACTTTGAGAAACCTCTTGGATATTATTTGTTCGAGGACTTAATGAACTACTATGACAAAGTATGAGAATGTGAAAAAACTGGGGAAATCTTGGGACAAGGGATATTCTCCCTTCTCCACAGAAATGAGAGACAAACTAAATATATGAAAATACTGACCGATAACCCTACTAAATGTGGTATAGAAGATGATAACTAAGGCATTAAAAAAACAAAGGCACGAAGTAATGAAGAGCCCAATTCATCCAATACATGTAAGATTTATGAGAGGCAGGAGAAATTATGGTAACATCTTGCTGGTCAACGAAATGTTAAGATTGTCAAAATAATCCAAGTATAATCTAACCCTCATTGCTATTGATTTTCATAAAGCATATGACCATGTGGATTGATATTTCGTGGACAACTGCTAACAATGGATGAATTTTGAACCTACCTTAAGCAGATGAGTGGAAATATTATGTAAGAATGCCACTACATAGGTGCACACCGATGATACTTTAGCTCCATAGGTGAAATTGTAAAGGTCGATCGCACAGAAAGACCCAATCGCCCCCTTCCTGTTCCCCGTGTCGACACGAACAAGGATATTAGGAAAATGAAAATATCATCTATTCCTAAAGATGCTATCCGCACAAACCCCATGTTTGCAGATGACTACCTTACAGTAATGGTGGATGCCAAAGAAGACAATAACATGAGAGAAATAAAAAAACCTTGAGGGACCGGCTCGAGGCAGTCGTCGATATGATAGTTAACTGGGTTGGCCTACCGGAGCAAAAAATGACCCTTTTGGGCCAGCCAAATGAAGGCCCATGCTGGTTAACTGTTTTTGTCATGGGCAGGGCGTTTCCCGTCTCGACAAGGGTCCTCAGTTCTTTTTTGGGGAGGCCGGGCGAGGGCTTGGTCGGCAAGCCAGGTTTGGCGCTGACCCCTCGCTTGCGAACCCCTCTTGGAGGAGATCCTCCCGCTTGCCCGGGGCCCAAGTCCCACTAGCCAAGTCCCACTATCAGGTGGCAGCCTTGAGTTTGAGTTTCCTCAATGCCCGAATCTGGACTCTTTCTTGGGCATGTTCAAATTATGTCCAGATTAGGGCATTGAGGAAACTTCAACGCTCCTGGTATTGGGATTTACCCCGAGTTCTTCATGCTTGACCATAGATTACGAGGCTTGACCGCCTGAAGAGAACCACAGTATCCGTCCAGGTGCGTGGGACCTTAGGCTTGGGACTCCGTCGGGACGGGAAATAGGATGGACTACCAGTAGCAGCACCTTGGGGGGACCACCACACGTGGAGGCTCCACGTCACGCTTTCGCGGCCGCCTGCCGTCTCTGGACCCCTCTCCTCTCTCCCAAACCTACCCTACGGTCGTTGTACAGTTCAGGGAGGGGGTTATCGGTCTACCGACACTCTACGACCGGTATTACGCGGCGACAGCACGCAGCGCAGCAGATAGCTGAGCGGCGCTTCGGGTTCGCTGTGGCCAGGTGACTTCTCCTCCCATCTCCTACTTCCTCCTCATCCCCATCGCCATCTCCTTCTTCCTCCTCATCGCCATCGCCATTTCCTTCTCCTCCTTCGTGCTAATCTCCATCTCCTTCTCCTCCTTCGTGTTAATCTCCATATCCTTCTTTCTCCTCCTCCTCCTCCGGTCTCTCTATCCTCTTCCTCTCAATTACAGTTTCCAGAGGAGGACGACAGGCACCGGGGGAGGAAGACTTTCCTAATCTGTCTTTCTTCTCTACCGTCTTCCCCCGAATAAAACGCATGGTGATTATAGTTGTATTTGGGGTAAATTTCCGTCTAGATGCAGAAATAATGACCGTACGGCCTCTGTTCGGCTGACTGCAGCCCGCCGCTTTATCCCCCCCTGTCAGGGCATACTCCCACGAGGAACGTTCGCGACTGAATCTGGCCGTGCAAAAGGTCAGATACGCGCGCTACTGGTAGGAACAATCTTCTCGACTGCATCTGGCTGCCCTAGTAAACGTAAGTATGACCTTAGTGCTCCTTGTATTTATCTTGACGCCCATTCGTTTTCTAGGGCATAGTTGCAGGAGGACATTCTTGAGTGAATCCTCCCGTGAAAAGGGCCAGATACGTCCGGGAAAGTCCTAGTATAAGCATGTATATGTCTCCTTAGTGAGTCATCCTTGTATGCCTCTTTTCCCCTCTTTGGTCTCTTTCCATTTTTTAATCTTTCCCCTCCTCCCGCCTTCCTACTACCCCTACCCCTACCTCTTCTCTCTCTCTCTCTCCTCTCTCTCTCTTTTTCTCCCTCTAGTGCTGTTTCTGTCCATTTCAATTTCAACTTAATTCAATACAATTCTTCTTTTCTTCCTCTTCTTCTTCTTCTTCTTCTTCTTCTTCTTCTTCTTTCTTGATGATGTCCTTTCGTCACATTGCGAGCAGCCGAGAAGCGATGGTGCACACACACACACACACACACACAGAGAGAGAGAGAGAGAGAGAGAGAGAGAGAGAGAGAGAGAGAGAGAGAGAGAGAGAGAGAGAGAGAG